CAGTGGCTCTGTGGCATTATACAAGCTTCTCAGCGCAGCTAGCCTCAGGAAAGGAAACTAGTAGCCCTGCCCTCAGAAGGCAGTGTAATAGAATTTTACAAGGTGATTGATTATCTGGTGTGTTATTAATCAATAACTATTAATTATAACAATTAATTAATTTACTAATAAATATTTTATTATTATTCTCATATTTTTGCTAATTGTTTCTACCTCTATGTCAGTTTTTCTATTAAGATGAACGGTTGCTAAGTGAATTAAATGAATATGCTTTAAAGAGCCCTGTTCCTAAATGGAACTTGTGAGTAAATATTTCATTAAATATTTGGCATGGGAGCCAGTAATATTTCTTTTTTTATTAATAGTGTTTATTTCTTTTTCAATTTTACATAATTTTTCAGGATGAAGAATACTTATGTTACGTGAAGATGACAGAATTCAATTATGGATTTGAAAAAATGTACAGAATAAAATTAGAAATTTGATTGGTGTTTACGAGTAGTTACTTTAAAAATAAATTTGTGTTAAGAGAAAGGAAATAATTTAGTAATTTCTAAATTAAGTTCTTTATCATTTTGTTATAAATAAAATAATATCCTGAAGTTTTGTAAATATTACATTTTTGGGTGATTTTTTTGAACTTCCATAGGAGAAAAATATTTTTATTTTTAAAGGGATTGAATAAGAAGAGATTAAAAATTCAATTTCTGCATTAAAAATATCTGATCTATTACACCGTTGGGTGTAAAAGACTTTTCTAGTTGTTCTGCAATCAAACTGTTGTTTAATACTGGAATAAGGGAATAATATTTTTAATAGTTGACCATAGTGGTCTGCTATTTGGGTGTAGTGTTACAATACAATTACAAAATTTGTCTCTTATAGGTCTATAGATACTTTCATGGTTTGAGCTAACTTATTAATTTTTCTTTTAACGTCATGGCGATGAGTTTGTTGACAGAAAGGTCTTAGATTAAATTTTAATTTAATAAGATTTAAAATATGTGCAGGGAGAGACAGAGTATGAATGGAAGGTTTAATGTGTGTTGGAATATTTATAAGGATCTTGAAGTGTTTAAGTACATTTTTCTGTTTTTTTATAATTTTTTATTGTGTATTATTCAAGTTTTTTGGGGTTAAAATTTGAATTTATTTAAGAACTATATATATTCCAATATGAATGTTATGAAGAGGATAATTAATTTTTAATAGTGAGAATTAAAACATTTTAATAATGAGATGATCAGAATCTAATTCAGGAAGTAAAGATTAAAAGAATTATAGATATAGATTTTTTGTAATTATTACATTATGAAAAGCCAGAATACCCCTATGGTATTTGAACTAGCAAAAAGGCATCAAGCACGATAATTTTGATATGATTGTATGCATACAGGACATTTAGAGCCAAGGAATAGCATTAGGACAACTGAGCAATAAGATATAGTATTCCATAATAATACAAAGGTGTTCATTGTTTGAAAAGCATGCCCACGAGAACTTTTAATGCAGAAGTGTAGAAATGGTGTTGGCACCCATAGTCAAGAGGAAATGTTGAAAGATTCTGTCCCTTGCTAGCAACTGACCAGGACGGATGTAGCAGTTGTAATGGTACGATTATTATTTTGGTTGACATTGGATAACAATTTAATGATAGAGGAACAGGAACTTACAGTTAAATGTGATGACATCATATTCAAGAAGTTAAAGACTTCAATGGTTACTCTGCATTGCAATTTGTAATTAAGAAATCAAAGTAAAATAGATTCCATATTGAGGGGAATTACATTACAGTGTATTTGTAGACGAGTATGATTTTTGTGGACTGAGCTGGAGATAGTTGCATGTAGGTGTCATTCAAAGCACAGTTAGGACAAGTCACACTCACAAAGTTATTTAGTTCCATCTATTGAGTCATATGAAATCATCGAATAATTTAGAACACTCCGGGAATAATGGAAACCTTTGTCCGTTGTTAGAATATACCACGATAGGAGGGCGGAGGTCGAGGTCATCCCATGGACGACATCAAGGCTTTTTTATAATAATAATGCCTCTACAAGCATGCACAATTTTGTTTCTCAGTGTTTAGAACATCATCAGGATGGCTGTGGATACAGAAGAATGAATATTGAGTGAATTTTTCTGATTTTTCATCATATGAGAGCGAGTTTCAGCATTAAAATTATAGTGATGCATCTTCATATGCGTATTTATGGTAGTGTTAAAGATTAAAATAAAAGACAAAAGAAAATATTTCCAAACATCAGAAAATAAGAATTGAAGAAAAGATTCTGAAATAGTGGGAAAAACTACGTCACCAGTTCAGGAAAAATTTGTAAATACGAAATTAAACGATTTCTCACTCTACAATCTATAGATGCACGTTTATGTTAAAACATATTTAACACAACATTGGTGACGATTGTTATAAAAAGTTGAGGTAATGGCAATGAATATGAAAGTGAAACCTATTCAAAATAACCTCTACAAACTGTATTTCTGAAATTAATAAATACATGCACACTTTCTCAGAAAGAAACCTTTATTTATTTCAAAATTAGCTTGTTCTATGGATAAAGGGCACAATTCAATATTTTCACATTAAAGTAAATCCAAGTGTTTGAGCATTTTTTTCATTTTGTGAGCTTAATCAGTTACTAATATGAGGGTTGCCTTTTATATTTCAGGATTAGAGAACAAAAACAAATATTAATCATCAAAATTAACTTTATTGTTTTTCAAAATATTCCCCATGAAGATCTAAACACTTTTGCATGCGTTTGAACCAATTGTCAAAGCACTTTTGCCACTCTGATTGAGGGATCTCCAAAACATGCATTCTGAATGTAGCAACCGCTCCTTCAGGTGCCGAAAAACGTTGACTTCTCAGTTTGTTTTTTACTTACAGGTATAAAAAGAACTCATTCGGTGTCAAGTCAGAACTATACGGCAGATGACTCATCAAATCGATGTTTTGGGTAGTCAAAAATGCCGTTGTTTGAGCCGATGTGAGAGAGCTCGTATTGTCGTGATGAAGAGTGATCCGTCTTCGGCGGTTGGTTTTCCTGATTTCTTGGAAGACAGCTGGCAAACAAATCGTTGTGTACCACTCAGAATTGACTGTTCTGCGTTGTTCTAGTGGTACGGTTGCGACATGACCAGTTTTTCCGAAAAAAACAGGCGACCGTCTGTTTGGAAGTGCTTCGTGTGCGAACAACTTTTGTTGGATATTGCTCATCTTGATACATACAGTCGACTTCTGTTTACTTCCGGGCTCATACGCGTAAATCCACGATTCATCACCTGTCTCGATATCATAGACGTGTTTCGAAGCACCGCGATCATTTCTTTCAACCAATCGACACAAACCTTTTTATGAGTGATTGACAAATTGTGTGGGATCCAACGCGAACAAATTTTTTTGACAGTCAAATGTTCATGCAATATTGAATGTATGCTGGTCCCACTAATGCCTAAGGTTGTCTCAATCTCACGACAGGTCACATGACGATTTTGCAATATCAGTTCACGCACAGCATCAATGGTTTTCGGAACAACAACTGATTTTGGACGACCTTTGCGAAATTCGTCTTGGAGTGAACTCAACACAACACAAATAGCGCTTGTATGTCAAAACATTCTGAGTACGTACAACCTCAAAACATCCAACTTTATGACAGAGCTGTCAGTTGCCAGATTGCAACACCAGGGTTGCCAAATCCCGAAACATAAAAAGGCAACCTTCGTATGATTTTTCATGGGATATGTAACAATTCTTTATTTTGTAAACAGAAATACAGCTTGTATTTCTCTAAATAAAATTCTTTATATTCTCAAAACTGTTTTTTCTGAATTATACCCTTCTTCCATCCAACCCCTCAGTTTGTAGTAGTTGCCATCAATTCAACAACAGGTGACAACAAACAGAACTGCACGTCCACATATAAAAGTGTGTGTGTGTGTGTGTGTGTGTGGAAAGCCACGAGAACAAGTCAAAGTGAAATTACAATAGTCATGGTTAAATATTGTGAAAGCTAAGGAGCATAGCAGGGAAAAATGAAATAAAATTAGTTATAACAGTAATAAAAAACTGTATTAGCTGGGCAACAAAGATACTTAATTTTTTTTTTTTAAATTGGAGATATTTCACAAATAGCTTGCCCAATGTAGTGAACAAATGTATATAAATAATTATGATTAAATTAAATATATTTGGGTTATTCACAGTATTTCAAATATCTGGTATGACATTGTTATGATTAGAGTAATGTTGGTTCGAATGGAGCATGTATGACTAAATTATTTTGAAATATATATTTGTTGTAGATGAATACTTCTCCGGAAGTGTTTTTACTGTTGAAGTAAAGGAGTATAATTGGAGTAGAAGATTGAAAAATGAGATTATAAATTTGAGCAGAAAGAGTTTGTTTAGAAATCTATAGATATAATATAAAGAGTAAATAGTGTTATTTATTTTAATTTCTAAAGCTATACATTCTGAAATATTAGATATAGAAAAAAAGTTTGTTGATGAAATAAAGAATTCTTTGTCATTGTAGCTACTTCTTCAGAAGCATGATTCTATCATCATTTCTGTACATTTTATAATCTTTTAAAGTACAGTTTTTCTTTAGGGGTTATATGAGTTTCAGAAACACATGCTACATCAATATGAAATGAAAAAGTGATTAAAAATATTTTTTTGTCATTTTAGACCATTATAATATCGTTTTAGTAGTGTTATAGTATTTGTATTAATATATATTAAAAAGTGGAGATTTATATGAATTGACGGTGGCTTTTTCTATCACAAATGGTGCAAATCTTGAGATGTTAACTGTGCGATTTTAAATAGTGATAGTCACATTTTTACACAAACATAATTATTATACTTATAGTTCTTTCTATGCACAGCGGTTGCCCACTTTATGAAATAAATAAGTTATTATTATTAATAATATTATGATGCATGCAACACAAGTAATTCAATAACAGACCTTCCTCTGAATGTGGTTCCCCGTGGCATTCTAGATAGTCCTCTACTGGCTCCTCTATGTAAATGAAGAGCACCTCGAGTTGTTCTTGGGTGAGTACTGCTGCCAGGCAGAAGGCCCAGTGAATGAGCTTCCATTTTCAGTTCAGCAACTTTTCTTTGTAATTCTGAAGTGTCTCCACCCTCTTGTTGTTTGGTAAACAAATCAAGTTCTGCATCTAAAATTTCACGCTGGGCCTGCAAATAAAAATATATAGGGCAATACATTAAACTGGATACATAAATTTCACAACTTAAAATACATTTGTATTAAGTAATCAAATAACAGCTGCTCTCAAAATGTCAATTACACAATAGCTGGTAGCAAAGTGCAAAATAATAGCAACAGCATGGAAAATATTTTATGTATTATCAGTATGCATCTCTGCATGGAACCCAAGTGAATACTGTGGCCATGTTCAATGTAAGTGGAATACAGTATTGATGCTATCCAGCATCCTTTGCCTATTTATCACTATCAGCTTTAGTGAAGAGGACAAAGAAGTTATTTCTTTATATTTTGGTTTGAATTCTAGCCAGATCTAGCTATAAAGCTGGCACTCTCTATTTCAGAATTGGAAGAATTTCCAGATATTTAACTTACTTATGTTTTGACATTTGTGACATGATCCGCTGTGAATGCATTTTGTGTATTGAGTTATTAAAGAAAATAAAAAAATTAAACATTTAAAATACTTAGTAAATGTGAAAGAACTTTTAACAACAATATTGGAAATTATATACATTTTGTTTTAAGAATTTTTTTCAAAATAACAAAGATTATTATAAAATCATGGCACAAGGAAACAAGGGATTGACAAAATATCTTTGGCCAAATGTGTCCTTGCGTCTGGCACATACCAGACTGTTTACAAAGCACTGAATGTGTTTAATTTAACACACGTAAAGTTTCTTCCTTTCCTGCAAGCTTTCTTTTAGCTGATTACATCAACAAAGTTAACCCCATACCAACCTCTTCCTTACTCTTCTTTGCCAAAGAACCAGGTTTTATGGCAGACATTGGAGATGCTCCACTTTGAGAAACCGATACAGATAAATCTTTCCGTATTTTCTCAATACTTTCCTGAAAAAGTATCAAAAGAACATCAGTTTATTACAAAATAATAAAATAAAATAGAAAGTTGTAGCAGAGAGAATGAAAAAGAAAAAGCTCCTTCCCTCTAGTTTGAGAATATACTATGTCTTTATGTTCTCAGTAATCCTTCATCACCACTAAAGACAAGAATCCCCTGCAAATAAATCTATTCTTTGCTAACTTGAAATTGGATGAAACATTGACAGAAAATTGAATCGTGAGACAGATGTTATTTTAGTACCCTTTTTATTTCGCACGAAATTGCACGTTTAGTGGGTTGCTGTGCGAAAGCGCACGTTTGGGGTAATGTGCTGCCTGAAAATTGCACATTGGGCGATTTATAGGACACATTTGCAAGATTCATAGTTTTATTTCATAAAATTTATTTTTTTTAATTATCAACTTGTTTTCATTTACCTATTTTAAAGATATTATTTAAGAAAAAAATGTTTATGACAAATGCAGAATTCAGATGGTATACGAAACCTCAGTGCCATTCAATTCTGTATTTTGTAGCCCTATGAACTGAGCTTCAGTACCTTTCATTTAACTCATTTTACAAGGAAAAATTTTAACTCAATATACAAAATGTACTAAATTACTACAATTTTCCAAAAAGTTTGTTGTTAGAAAGGATATTATGTCTTGTGAATCCGGTTAAAAAAAATCCCAACAAAAACATTAGCAAAATTTGGCTTTCGAAATTAGTCGTTTCAATAATTGAAACAAAAATTGGCTTGCAAATTTTTGGTTTGAACAGTTCTTTAGCAGGATATCTCAGTCTTTAGTTATCGTGAAATTGGTCAAACTTGGGTTGCTGCCGCCAGTTGTAGCCCACGCAGGACTTGTCTTTCATTTCCGCAGTGAAATTGGGTCATACAAGGTCATCAGGAAGATCCCCATTGCATGTCCGCTACCTCTACCTAAGGGGAGACTTCTTTCATGATAACCTTTGGCTATTGATGTTTTTTCCAAAATAACCAGTATGGCTCTGAGTTTAAATCAAAGTGTAGTTATTTTCTATCTGGCTGTGCAACCGCAGTATTAAATGAAAAAGAGTGGTTGGAATAGGCAACCCCTTTCAATATCAGATAACATAAAAATTTGAAAAGTTAGGAAGAGTGTCAGTAAAAAAGTAGATATTGCTGGGAAAACTGTTATTGGGTTTTTACCGAGTTTTTTTGTTGTTGCTAATAATCAATTTCAGTTATGTTTCTCTCACTTATACATTTTTTCCCTTCAGTCCCCTGAAAAACATAGGAGTGAAGTTTTATTGTGGTATTCTCCCACTTGGATGCCTGGGAGAAGAAGCTTCAGTATCAGAGAAGTATCTGTTGAAGATGCTATGGAATAGATTCTTTCTAGTGATTAGAATGAACAATACTTAATAGTAATAATATGAATGATGTAAATTCGTTTCACAACAATACAAAATCTTGTTAAATGAAAATACAGATTAATAATTTTGCAGGAAAAGTTTTCATGCAAATTTTTTATTTCTTTCTTTTCCCACCTCAAGACAGTACGTATATGTGAGCCACCATTTTGAAAGTATGCAACAGGTAATACAATCAATTTATTATCTTCTTTAATTCTATATGTGTACCACATTTTAGGTAATTTGCTATTCAAATAACTGAGTTATAACTTTTGGCCAAGGACAGCGCACTTTCATCCCATAGTGCATTTCTAAGGTCCATTCAACCTCCTTTCCAAATAAGAACGAGTATTTATTGGCTTTATAAACAATAAATATTAGGTAAAATAATATCCAGCTGAAGCATGCCGCTAGTCATGCCACCTTCACCCTACTTTAAATAATATTAAGTAGGGGCGGATTTTGATGACCTAAAACATTGCCAAAAATAGTAATAATGCTTTAAAAATGCTCTAGAAACCAAGAAACTGAAGAAAAATGACATAAAAAAATCGATCAAAACCACTTCAGATGAACAACTCAAGTTGTTGGATACGTTACTGATGTAATCAAGGGTTTTTCCTTTTGTTCGAGTGAACTAAGCTTGCAAACTTTTGGTTTGGACTGTTCTTTAAATGAAAATATCTGTGTTTCTTTATCGCGAAATTAGCAGAACTGACAATGGCGCCAATAGGCGTCACAGGAACCTTAGATTTGATAGTACTCACAACGGCTGACACTACAATATATGAGCAAAGAAATCAAATAGGCAACTAAGAAATTCTCTGGTGAACATTTGTTGCAGCTCATAAAGATTGTTTGAAGTAGCAACCATTAAAATGATATTAAAATCAATGAAATCAAGGAAAAATTTATTGAAAATGTCATAAGATAAATAATGACTTATTCAAAAACGACGAAAAATGCAAAAAACATGACATTTAAAAACGGGTCATTTTGTTTTGTCATAACATAAAATGCATTTCTATATTAAACAGCATTGTCCTTAAGTGAAAAGAAAGAAAAAAATGTCATTCCATTAAAATTCGTTCTCCTAATAATACAGCTGTTAGATACATTCATATACAGAAATTTCTTCTCTTACCTGTAAAGTTTTTATAGTAGACATTAGACTTTCACGTTGGTCCCCTGAAACCCCTCCCTTTTCTAACCTTTCTATTAATTTTTTTTGTTGACTGAGTTGCTTATCAAGAAGTTCTTGTTTTCTTTTTCTCAAATCAGCTGTGAGTTTCAAAGCCTCCTTTAAAACAGAAAAACGAATATGTTATTATCAAAAAAACAAAAATTTCAAATTTTTTCCTAAGAGATATTAGACATAAAGAAATAGTCACCTTCCTTTTCTCTTCCTGCTTCTTCTTCAATGTTTCTTTTGCAGCTAACATCTCTTGTGATTTTTTTATCACAGCGGCCTTAAAAAAAGAGTATTAGAATGATGTTTAGAAGATAGAATTTTATTATGGAACAAATAAACATAATTCAAAGTACTTACGATAGCTTTACTATTTTCTTGAACGGGTGGTGTTGAAATTACAGGTGGAGCAGAAGCAGGAGGAGAACTTTCCGATTTCTTTAGTGCTGTTGGAATGTAGACCGTCTTGGTCAAATTGTTGCCCGACATAATAACCTGTAAATAGGAATAGGGTTTGATAAAGCAAGCATTAGAAATACACTTGGAACTGAACAGGAAAATTAAATATTGTATCTTGCTAAAATGAAATATATATTCAATTAATTTCCTAATCAAGGAGCCAATAAAACTAACTAGATAGTTTGCTATACAATCACAAACATTTTTAATTCAAAATTAAATGTAACCAAGACAAGAGCAAAAACTCTTCCTTCTGTCTTCCTTTGTTTTTGACTCAAATTAGTCTAAAATTAGATTAGAAACTAAATGCAATACATTCTTAATGGTTGGTAAGGGATGTTAAATAGCAAATGAAAAGAAATATAAAGCCAAGATGAAGGAGTAATATTGGGCATCTATTTATTTATTGGTCTAAAAGGAAAGAAAACATGACTCTTATATCTAAACAAAATTTTCCATCTAAACCATTAAAAAAAATTTGAAATGTTTCTTACATTCCCTTATTATTATAAAAAGGAAGAAAGAAAATATCATTACGTAAGGAAAAAGGAAATGTAAATATAACACATTTTAGAGAGAGAAAATCATCACTATCTTACAAAGCAGAAGATGAGGTATATGCACTAGAATAAGATGAACCGAAAGATAAAATAAACAAGAGCACTAGACTATACTTTTTTTTTTCAGAAATGAAGAAAACCAAGCATCCATTTTGCACTTTCAACATTAACACACAATGTCAAAGTAGATTTTAAGAGAATGAATGAATTCATCATACTTGGTTAACAGATTATCCAAGAAATTCATTTAAAGCAACTCCGTCATATGACATTCCTTAGAACAAATTCATATCTTCATTGGGTGATCTGGGCTGTCCGGGTGACG